ACCAGATTTTGTTTATTCTTGTTATTCTTCATTATTTACTTCCTTTTTAGCTTCTATTTATTGTCTCTTTCTTTTCCTATAGAGAGACAATTTTTGATTCATTTTGGCAGCAAACTATGGATGAAAAGCTTTCTGCTTTATATAAGACATATACTTGAGATCTAGTTTCTCTACCTCTTTGTAAGAGTGTTGTTGGTTGTTGTTGAGTGTATAAAATCAAGACTAATTTTGATGGGTCTATTGAGTAATAAAAAGCTAAGCTAGTTGCAAAAGGATATTCTCAACAATATGGTATAAACTATGAGGAAATATTTGTCCTAGTTGCAAAAAGACTACTATTCATACTTTTATTACCGTAGCTTCGATTCATTAGTGACATGTTAAAAATGTCTTCTTGAATGGAGATCTTCAAGAAGAAGTTTATATGACACCCCCTTAGTATTTCACATAACTCTAGATATATTTGTAAGCTTAACAAAGCATTCTATGGTTTCAAACAAGCACCCTATGTTTGGTTTGAGAAATTCTTTAATGTGACCTTGTCTCTTGACTTTACTTCTAGCAGTTATGATTCTGCTTTTTTTATTAAGTGCATTGATGCAGGTTATACAATTTTGTTTATATATGTTAATGACATGATTATTATTGGTGATGATATTGATGATATTTTAGTTTTGAAGATAGAGTTGTTTAGACAATTTGAAATGAAGAATTTGGGTTATCTTCGATATTTTCTAAGTATTGCGGTAGCATACTCACCTAGATGTTACCTTTTTTCTCAGTCAAAATATGTTACAGATATTCTTGAGCGAGCTAGACTTTTTGATAATAAGACTGTAGATACTCATATTGAGGTTAACGCAAGGTACTTTTCTTCTAATGGTTTATCTTTGATAGATCTTACTTTATACTGCATAATTATTGGGAGTTTGGTATATTTCACCATTATTTATCCAGATATTGTATATGCTGTTCATGTTGTTAGTTAATTTATTGCTTCTCCTATAACTGTTCACTAAGCAGCCGTTCTTTGTATTTTTCGATATCTTTGTGGTACAATTTTTCAGAGTTTATTACTTTCATCCATTTTTTCCTTAGAGTTGCGCGCATACTTTGATGCTGATTATAGCAGTGATCTTATAGATCCCAAGTATGTTACCGGGTTATGTATCTTTTTAAGTGATTCTCTTATTTATTAGAAGCAAGAAACAATATATTGTTTCTCAATCATCACCAAAGCAGAATATTATGCCATGACATCTACTACTAAATAGATTGTTTGGTTACGTTGATTACTTACTGATATGAGAGTTTTCTTTTCTCATCCTACGCCTATGTATTGTGATAACCAAAGTTCTATTCAGATTGCTCACAACTCGGTTTTCCATGAGCGAACTAAGCAAATTGAGATCGATTATCATCTTACTTGTTATCATCTCAAGCATGATACTATTGCTTTGCCTTTTGTTTATTCTTCCTTATAGATTGCAGTTTTCTTTATCAAGACGTATTCCATCTCTCGTTTTTGTTTTCTGGTTGGAAAACTCTCGATACTTGTAGTTGTAGCATCATGAGTTTAAAGGAAGATGTTAAATAATATTTATGCAGTTATATTTATTAAGGGTAGAATAATATTTTCAGTTTAATCTATATACACTTTATTTGTATTTAGATCAAGACTAAGCATTCATAATATGCAAATTATTTAGAATTTTTAGCCTTTTTTTGTGTTTGAACTTAATTATTTTAACAAAGATAGATAAATGAAAAAGAATAGTTAATTCTTTCCGTTTAAGTGATATAGAATGTCTATTGATGTTTTGTATGCATATAATATTATATATCTAAATGAAAATGTGTATCATTGGATTAATAATTAAAGATGCATAATCTGACCTTCAGCATCATGTAAAGCTTCTTCCCTTGCAAGTGCTAGAGGTAATAGTGTTACTGTATAGCATAATCAAGTTGCCCTTTTCAAATTTTCTTCTGATAGAAGAATTTATCGTTTTTTGTTTGCTCATATATTTTATCGCTGAGTGGACAGGCTGAATAGAGATTATAGCGAGTAGCCAGTATCTAAACATTGGTCTTTTGAGTCAAACCCTCCTTGAGGAGGCTATCGAAGGGTTGGTGTGCTGCCTTGCGAGGTTCTAAACCTTCAAGGCATGGTAGAAGCTAGCAATATGTTTGGACTGTTATGGAGAAAAGGCTTAGTTTGTCTACCGAAAATAGCACGGTATTAGTCATGTTTGCAATGTAAATCATATTTAGAGATGAGAAGTCTGAGCTGCAGGTGGCATAATATGCACTCGAAGAGTTTATGCTGGCGTCTGGACAAATTTGTGCGCTAGCGAGGCTGGCTGGAGACTGAACTGGACTCTCTTTGATTTCACAGGAAATGGAGGAATGAATTGACCGATTCATTAGATCCTAGGTTGGGACTGACAATGCTTTGTATGATCAAAGAACGTATACGAGTTCTGATCTCGGTTTTATTATGGTGTTTCTTGACTGAACTAGGAAGAAAATCCACAGAATGTATACGAGTAACTGATCTAGGCTTCAAGTGCCAGTTTCTACGAGGAACTCTCTCTGGGTTTACTTGCAATGCTGTTTACATATTGCGATGGGGCAAAGCAAATCCTAACACGGCATGCTGGTAGACAAGAACAAAGATTCTTTCATCCACTAGGAGAAGCCTCAAAGCTTAAAAACCAAGCCGAAGCTGGCAACCCAGTTTCACGTACAATCATTCCCTATAGCCTTTGGTAAACATTCCAGGTAGGCAAGGAAGAGAACTGCGATTGAAGCTGCTTAAAACCACATTCAAGGCTCATGTGCAGCGCCTTGATGCTATTGAATCAAAAGTGATAGAACAGTGCAAGGACTTTTTTTTTCTGGAATGACTTGGTCAAACTAGCCTCAATTAATATACTACCAAGTCAACATAACACCGCTGTAAATTTGAAAATGTCAAATTCCTCATCCCTGCACGTGCCTGTGAACCTGAAGTACCCTCGATTCAACAATTGATCTTAATTTACAGGTCATCTATTCTAAATTTTATCTCTATTCTTCCCTTCGGTTCACATTACTTCTGTCGACGTTTATAGGTCAACAAGTAAGGCCGCCTTTATTTCGTTATTCTTCTTTTAGCAGCCACTACTTGACATTGTTGTTGTGATTATATTCATATAAATTTCTCAAAAACATCATTTACCTGCTTACAATAGCGGTTGAAACCATCATCCATGGCAGCCCCGGTTTTATAGCAAAGAATTTTCTTTTTAATTCCTCATGCATGAAACGTGCTCCTATTCACAGTCTTGGTGTTTATTATTTTCCTCCTAAATCAGTTATTTTCCTCCTAAATCATTTATTTTCCTCCTAAAGCAGATGCTATTTTGAAGAAAATTATTTTGACTTTACTGTTCTATGCTTGAACGAGACAGCTTTTTAAGAAAATGACTTTGTGGTTTCAGAAAAAGATAAATCTCATCCTATTTGTCTACGAAATCATTTTCTTGGACTTTTCTTTGGGCTGTTCGTTTATATATATATATATATATATAAAGATATGGATAGTGGTAAAGATAAGGCATGAGAGGACATAGAGAATTATAGGTTGTACAGTTCTGCAGTTTTCGGCAGAAAAACCACATACTTGGCAAATCTTTACATTTTTCACGATAGCTTCTACAGTTCTATTTGTTATTCAACCGATACTTTCAGGAAATATGACAGGTTTAATTGTTGATACATTAAATTTTAATCACCATCGGAAAATTTATACTATATTTACTATGATTGAATATAGGGAATAATAAACGAATATGAAACAAATGTAGCACATGGAAAAGATTACAAATGGTTTAAGATCCATTGCAGGAAACCGACTATTAGGATAAAAAGACAAGGCATGTTCGGGGTTTTCGTAAACAAAATCAGAACCTGTTATACAATGCAACTTCAATATGGAAAATCAACTCTTAGGGCTTTAACTTCAAATCTGAAGTGTTAATTTCCGAGTATGTATTCAGTATTCTGTCTTCGGTTCCATATTGACGGCTGGTGCAATGATCGGTGCACTCACAAGAAAGGGATAAGGAAAGAGATTCTATCATGAATCTTTACAGTTCTTTCAAGCTACACTTGTGAGAGATTCGGTTCCACCTAACAATGCTGTGTTAATGTGGGATGCAGGCGGTGAGAATTTCTAACACCTTCTGTGTAATTCCGTTTACTTTGCTAAGGTTGTGTCATCATAGTATGTATAACAACTTGATTTTTGGACATGACTATATATTTTATTCTGTCTTGGTTAATACATCAAGGGCGCTTTGGCATTGGACATTGGAAGATTGGCAACAGGATACGGAATGGGAGCACTATACTATGTGGCACGTTGTTTCTCTCTTCTAACGCCTAAAACATGTTCTTGTAGCTGACATTGCATCCAGTAACCTTAGAGGAACATTAACAACTGCAGCCCAGGTAAAGATTGCACACGACAAAAAAATTGCTGAAACACTTTCTTTTTGTTAAATTTTGATTTCCAATGTAGTGACAGTCTAGCTTTATGGATCTTTCTGAATTAAGGAATAGAAAACAGATAATGCAGATCACTCGTAATGAGAAACTATACATAAGAATCACAATCCGTTATATATTATTGTATCTTACAGCTTATGGTTGGTATTGGAGTGTCTGTTGCATTCATAACAGGGACAGTACTGACATGGAGAGTTTTGGATTTGACTGGTAAAATTCCTGTATCCATTTTTATATTCAATCATCCAAAGCAAAATATTGCAAAAGATAGTAGGACGGGGTGTTTACTTTCGAAGTTTGCTGGACTCATCCCTTGTGTAATTCTGCTTGTTGGCCTGTCTCTTTTACCATAGTCCCCCAGATGGCTGGTAAGAAACAACAATATGTATATTTAAAAGATGAAACTGATAGCAACGAATAACTTCTATGCATGAAACAACTGTCTGATGAATGCAGGCAAAGAAGGGACGTGAAGAAGAGTTTGAAAGCACACTACAGAAACTTCGTGGCAAGGCCGTTGATTCATCTGACGACGCAGCTGAAATCAAGGTTCTCAGTTTGCAGTCCGCATTAGAATTTCATTGCTATTTCTAATTATTTACAGTACAATAAGAGAATGAGTAATATGCCAATTGTCTGACAGGATCATATAGAAACTATAGAACGGCTCCCAAAAGCCAAACTGCTTGACTTTTCAAAGAAGACACCTGCCCTAAAGTCATTGTAAATGTGTCTCTCTTCAGCCAGATTTTCACTTACTTTTCCACTGATCTCATTAAAGTACTCCATCAAATCTGACATTCAACTATAAATAACGTCTAACTTTTTCATTATTTGACCAGATAGTAGTTGGATTGATGGTCTTACAACAACTGGGAGGAACCAACGCGTTCTGCTTTTATGCCAGCCATACCATTGAGTCAGCAGGTAAAAGTTCTTTGTTAAAGATTCCTTTCAAGGGAAAATCACCTTACATGAACATGGGGAGAAAACATCACATTTTGTCTCTGGTTAAACAGATTAAAAAATCAGTCTCCATAACTTTCGTTTAGCCATTTTCTTTCTTTCATCTTGAAAGGAAATCGAGTAACTCATGATTGAACTCATATGCTGCTCAAAGATTCATAATTGATTTTCTAATTTCTGTGATTGTAATATGTCAGGATTTTCCCTTTCTGTTGAACCATAACCTATGCCATCCTTCAGGTTTCAAACTCTCACAACGTGTGTCACCTCAAGAAAAATAAACTGTCTCAGCTATAGCTAGAAATTGACTGAAGCAGTTCCATTTTGCAGGTTGTGGCCTTCAGCACAGCCATAATAGATTAAATTGGAGGAAAGCCTCTTTTATTGGTAAAGTTCTCACGTAACTGTCAGGAGGAGCTATAAAAATCTCCTCAGACCAGTCACCCGTCACAAGCTGAAAATTATGCTTTCTTGGCATTCTAGGTTTCTGCTTTTGGATTGGTCCACAGCTGCATAATCACAGGGCTTTCATTCTATCTGAAGGTGCAATTCATGGTACTTGAAATGTATACCGGAGTGAGGCTCCCAAGATATTTTGGAGAAGTATGTACCTGGCACTTGCTTTGTTCTCATCCACAGTTAAATGCTAGGCAAACAATGGATAAGGTTGTGAGAATGCTGTAAACAGAACTCTCACTCCCCCCTCTCATCCACAGTTGTTGCCCTATAGATCTCAAAAGGTCAGCATATTTTACCCTATAGAATAAGCAAGTGCTAGAGGTATAGTGTTACCCTATAGAATAATCAAAAGGTCATTTTCAGATGTTCTTTGGTTTTAGAATTTAACATTTTGTTTGCCCATTTACTTTATTGGTGACTAGAGAACTGAATAGAGATTGTAGCTGCAGCCAGTATGCTTTTTCAGTGAACCCTCTTCTTGAGGTGGCTATCCAAGGATTGGCGTGCTGCCTTGTGAGTTTCTCTAAACTTTGAAGGCATGGTAGAAGCTCAATGCTTCTTTGGATTGTAATGGAGAAAAGGCCCGGTTTGGAGATTGTTTCGACAATTGTCATTTGGTTTGGCATGGTTTAGTCCTGTTTGCAATGTACATTATAGTGGAGATGGGAAGGCTAAGCTGTAGGCGGCATTATATGCGTTGGAAAGTATATGCTGGAAATCTGAAAGGTTGTGCACATCTGTGCATTAGGCTGGCTGGAGCATGATAATGCTCTGTGTGATGGAAAGAATGTATCAGTAACTGGTCTCAGTTTCATAATATTTTCCCTTGAATTTTGAGCCAGTAGAAATCACACATTGCTGGCATTTGGAGCTGTTAACTTTCTTGAGTAGTTTAATGATTTGTTGTTCATTGAGTTTTGAGAGGTAAATGTTGATTTTTTTTGGGATTAGAGATGCATTCGATCCCTTTGCCATTTCTCTCTAAGCTAGGTCTGTTGAGTTTGAGAATGTGAAATTTACTCTCTGATGACGCATGCTCGAGTGCCCGTTTGTAACAAGGAACTCTCTTTAGATTTACTTCCAATCACTGCTCCAGAAAATTAAAAAATATAAATTAAAAAATTATCTATAAATAATAATATTTGTCATAAAAATCACACCATAAATTTTTCACTAGTAATTTTTAAAGAAAACAACAAGAGAATTAAGAAAAATAAAATCTATTCGAACATATTTGACATGTTAAATTACCGATGAAATTTCCGTTAGAAATTAAAAAAAAATTAAAATCCAATAGTTTTTTCTTCCTTCAATTCAAACCCTAACTCTAATTTCTTTAAATTTTCGACAACCCCCCTCTAAAATCCAACCACCCAACCTACCACCATCAACGCAACCTCCCCCCCTTTTTTATTTTTATGTCAAGCTTCATTCCACCATCTCAGAAAACCCATCCATTTTTGTTATAACACCAATTTATATTTAAAGTTAAAATATTCGAAATTTGCTTGTTGAATTTGTAGTTTGCATATATATATATATATGTATGTATTTAAGTATTTTATTTATTTTATAATAATAATTTTATTGTATTTGTGTATTATTTTATTTTAGGGTTTATTTGAGATTCGAGAAAAGTAAATTTTGTTTGTTATTTAATAAAATTAAGTGTGATTCTATACTTAAGTGTATTAAAATTAAAGAAATAATGAATAATTAACTCAAGTGTGCCCGAGTCCACGTTGGAAAATTATTTTTCCAACTAATGTAAGAAATTCTTGTTTCCATGGCTACAAGCTAAAGAAACTCTTCTCTTGATAAAACTACCTTCTAAGAGAAAACCCTTTGACTTTCCAATACGACTGCAATTGTATGGCGTTGGTGTTTCAACTGAACCTGTCGGCCCAGTTTGACCTTGCGGTGCTGGTTTAAAAATCCATGTGTTGAGGTGTACTTATTATGGCCTGCTCCACCCACTGATTGAGTTTCTTCTTTTTAATGAAAATACTGATAGAATTGAATTGTTGATGGAGTAAAAACCTTGATGATAAAGTTTTTGATGACGATATTTGATGGGAATGAAAAATATTGATGGATTTTTAAAAAGTATTTTAAAAATATAAAAATAAATACAATTTTATGAATCTCAATTAAAAAAATATATAAAAACTGTTTTATTTAAACTTAATTTTTAATTTTTTTAATATTAAATATTTTGCTGCTGCCTAAATCAAGTGTAAAACAAATATAATTATCTAAGTGGTGGTCAAGTGGTATAAATTTAGAACTAAGGGATTTGTTTTCTCTGTGGTTTCAGATTCGAGTCTTTGGTTGCTCGTATAATAGCTACTAGAGGCTTATATGATTATTAATTTCAGAGCCTATGAGATTAATCATGATACGTGTAAATTGACTCAAATACCCATATTAATCTTAAAAAAAAAATGTAAAACAAACTCAGGCTAAATCTCTCCTATACCTTTTTTTTTTTTTAATAATTTGGTCGAGTCTACTCTGACTGACCTAAACATGCTAGTTTCTTTACGATTTTGTTGTAGTATCATATTCCAAGTGTCAGAGAGAATTAGAGAAAAAGGTAAGAAAGGAACAATGGTGAAACACATTTTATTCATATTATACATTATTGTCATAAAGGAAGAAGTCCCATAGACTTGTACTTAGATTACAGTACTTTCATGACATTAGCTTATGAGGAATCATAGCATTGGATAATCACTTCATTAGTGTTCTCCATGCAATTACCTAGAATAACTAAAAGAAAACTCTGAACGTATGTAGATTTTAAAGTTAATTTTTAGAACTCCCTTTTGGTTTTTATAATCTTAAAATCCTTGGGAGTTTTGAAAATATGTTACGGGATGATCTTGAAACTCCCTGTTGTATGATTATTTTGTCATGGTTAATGTTACTTCTTATTAATGACAAGAACTTCAATGTCTTTTCTCTTCTGTTTTTATTGAACAACCACAATGTTGTTCTCACTACTTTATGTATCTTCCATCTTTATCTTGAGCTGATGTTTCTTGCATCTTTGTCTTGGTGACTCTTTTCATCTGCACTATCTATCACTGTATAACCGAGCTGATGTTTCTTGCATCTTTGTCTTGCTGACTCTTTTCATCTGCACCTGCTTGTCAACCTTCATACCATCAATTCAACGGTTTGTCGTTTTTCATCTATCTTGTATCTTTTTGGTTCGAGTTGCCACTTGCGTGACGTGGAATAACCCTGTCTTTATTTAGTTATTATTATTGTTATTATTACTACTTGGGTATTATTTTAGGGGTTGCTTTCACATCAACTTCCAAAATATCAAAGAGGCCTCTTATTTATTTATTTATTTATAGGCACGGGTTTTTTTCCTCTCCCAAAGCAGATACTGTCAATACAATGGTCAGGTATAGAAAACTGTTTTATGGCTCGACTGTTCCATGCTTGAAAGAGACAGATTTTATAAGCAAAGAGCGAATTAGAGCTTAGAATTGATAGTCTTTTATAATCTGCTAAAAACTTTCTGAAAGAACATACCTAGCATGTTGATGTTATGCTCTTTCAGCGATTGACTCTCTGTTGATGCACCTAACGCCTTCCTGTTTCTTATGAAACCAGCAACGGTTTTGCACAGCATCAAAGGGCAGATCCCACTGGAAAATGTGTATCTCGTTGCTAATATAAGAGGAGCCATTATGATTATTGAAGTTTGACAGCTCCGGGACCAAGTATTTTGGTCTCCTTTCGAAAGCAAATATCATCCACGTCTTGTTGCTCAATAAAAATATCTCATTCGGGCCTTTTTCAATATGTCTTCTGCGACCACTAAAACATTGTCAGAATTCTCTTTGGCCTGCTCGTCCATATATATAGAGATAGAGAGAGAGAGACTGTAGAAAAGAAAGGGCATGGCCATCAGAGAAAACATAGAGAATGATAACGATGGTGCGCTTGAAGACGCAAGAGAACCACTCATGCCGAAGAATTCATCTTACGAAGAAGGATCTGGCTCTCAGTGTAGCAGCAACAATACTGGTACTGCTTGGATGGTTTACCTCAGCACATTTGTTGCAGTTGCTGGTTCTTTTGAAGTTGGATCCTGTGTAAGTGCAACCTCGTCATTTCCTTTTCAACTCTAAAAACACGTACTATTAATTAGTAGTTCAAAACCTTGCATTACGACCACCGACAACAGGTGTTTGCTTTTGAATCCAGTCTGGCTATTCATCACCAACTCAGAAGGCTATGAGGGAAGATCTGTCTTTGTCTATAGCAGAGGTGAGTTAATGATTCAAGCAAGGCCTTAGCTTCACTCTTTTCTTTTCTTTCTTTTCTTCTTGAAAAATCCAATATATTTAATTGATTGGAGAATGTTAAGCTAACCTTCATACGAGAATGATGCCGAAAGTAACAGACCAAAAACAGATTAAAACTAAGGATCCCAAGAGCAAACCAGAAAATTGTAGACAGCGTAGAATAGGACAAAAAGCATATTCCAGAAACATGGAACAGCTAGATCAGCATAGGAGGAGCAGAAGCTTATTTGGGCAAACAATTAGGGGCATCAGCAAGCAAAGTCGAACTCAAACATAGAAACTCCTTACCAAATGAAAGCCACATCGAAAAGGCAGCACTAGAAAATGATAACCTATTAACCTTAGTAAAGCATAGGCAAATTAAAGTAGTTAAACAATTGTGCAAGAAAATCCAAATTAACAAAAATGAATCCATGAGAAGAAACGAAAGAAGCAGCATAAGGTGGGAAGTGTGGATAGGAGCATAGAAAATCTTGAGAGTAGGCAAAGAATAACAGGCAGAACTGTAGACGCGTTGGAGTTATATGATATCACTGCACACAATGGATCCATAAGAGACTGCCAAACTCAGGAAAAGAGGAAGAAGCCAGACCTCCAACAAAAATTTACACGCACCCTAGAAGCAGCAATTTTCTATTCCAAAAAACAGATAACGAATATTTTCCTTTTTGAAGACTCGAATTAACACACCTGAAAAAACCAAGCAAGGATAATGGCATCGATAAATGCTCAAAATCAGACCCCACAAAATTGATACTTGGAAACATTTGTCAACACAGACAATTCTTTCTTTCAGAGGGAATTTTCTGTTGATCCAATAATCAATTCTTCATCCCTGGAATGCTAAATCATGAGAGGAACTCACTGGATTATGTTGCTGATAGTTTCCTCTCCATAGTTTCCGTTAACAAAATCAGATCGTCTGTATGACGCAACTTTAAACATCGGAAATCAACTCTCAGGGTTTTAGCTTCTAAACTGATTCGTTGATTTCTGAGAATGCTTTTATGCATGCAGTATTCCTTGTTTGGTTCCATATTGACAGTTGGTGCAATGATTGGTGCAATCACAAGCGGACCAATTGCTGATTATATTGGTCGAAAAGGGGTAAGAAAACGGATGATATTATGAATCCCTAATCTTTCAAGATAAACTAGTGAAGGATTCTGTTCTTTACATGTTTTTTTCCAGAGAATATCCACCTAATAATACTGTGTTCATGTGGAATATAGGCGATGAGATTTTCTAGCACCTTCTGTGTTGCAGGATGGCTTGCCATTTACTTTGCTAAGGTTTGTGTCATCTTAATAAGCATAAAAAAATGATCTTTCCAAATAAATTACTATAAATCTTACCCTGTCTTGGTTCGATATGAAAGGGCGCTCTGGCATTGGACATTGGGAGATTGGCAACTGGATATGGAATGGGAGCCTTGTCCTTCGTGGTACATTTTATTTCCCATCTAGCATTTGATTAATATAAAACATGTTACTGATGAGCATCATGTCATTATTTATCATGACCAGGTACCTGTTTTTATAGCTGAAATTGCACCCAAAAACCTTAGAGGAACATTAACAACTGTGACTCAGGTAAACATTGCACACAGAGAAATCACGTGCACACTATTTTCATAGTTAAATTTGTATTCCCATGTTGTGACCGTCTAATTTGATGGATTCTTTCTGAATAAAAGAATATGAAATAGACAATGCAGATCATCCATAACGACAAATTATACATAAGGATTACTATTCACAACTCGATAAATAATCATATCTTCAGCTTATGGTTGCTACTGGAGTGTCTGTTGCATTCATAATAGGAACAGTACTGAGATGGAGGGTTTTGGCTTTGACTGGTATGTTTACTCTGTCCATTTGCATATTCAATCATCGAAAGAAAAATAATGCAACGGATAGTAAGTCAGGGAGCTTACCTCTGAAGTCTTGCAGGAGTTATCCCTTGTGTAATTCTGCATGTTGGCCTATTTCTCATTCCGGAGTCTCCCAGATGGCTGGTAAAAAAAAGCAATATTTATATATAAATGACAAAGAATAACATATGCATGACACACTATCTGATGAATCCAGGCAAAGAGAGGGCGTGAAAAAGAGTTTGAAACCACATTACAGAAACTTCGTGGCAGGGCTGCTGATATATCTTACGAGGCAATTGAAATCAAGGTTCCCATTTTGTAGTCTGCATTAGGATTTCATTGTAAATATCTCAAAATTTACAATAAAAAATAAAATAACGAGTAATATGTCAATTGTCTGACAGGATTATACAGAAACTCTGGAACGCCTCCCAAAAGCCAAACTGCTAGACCTATTCCAAAGAAGAAACCTGCACTCAGTCCTTGTAAATATTTCATTACTTTCTACTGATCCCAGTGAAAAATAAGTAGTCACTCCACCATGACCTTTTATTTTAACTTCTTAATTATTTTCCAGATAGGAGTTGGATTGATGGTTTTGCAACAATTTGGAGGAATCAATGCAGTTTGCTTTTATGCTAGCTCTATCTTTGAAGTAGCAGGTAAAGAAGATTGAAAGTTTGAACTGGCGTGCTGCTCAAAGATTCATGATTGTTCTAATTTTCTGAGACTGATATTTCAGGATTTTCTCCGTCTCTTGGAACCATAATCTATGCCATCCTTCAGGTTTCTAACTTCCCAGAATGCTAGTCAAATTAAAAAGAAAGTTTAATTGTCTCAACCCGCTTGGAATTGACTGAAACAATTCCATTTTGCAGGTTGTGGTTGTTGCCCTAAACACAACCATTATAGATAAAGTTGGAAGAAAGCCTCTTTTACTGGTAAAGTTTTGTTCACGTCTCAGTTAGAGCTTCCTCAGAGTCAGACTAGCCACCCCTTCACATATTGAAAGCTGTACTTTCTTTGCTTTCTAGTTTTCTGCATCAGGACTGGTCATCGCCTGCCTAATAACTGGGCTTTCATTCTATCTGAAGGTTATAGTCAAACTCTCATTCTCAAATATACCTTACAAGTCATAATTCACGATGCTCTCTTTTCCAGATATATAAATATTTAGAGATACATTGTGTGTAAAACAGGTTCATGAATTGGCACTCAAGTCAGCTCCCATGCTCGCTGTAATTGGCATATTGGTAAGACTACAAGTTTTCTCAAACGATATCACTGTTAGCTTGGATTGATCTTCCTAAAGAGTAAAAACAATTAACGACAAAAAGCCCCATATATTCCCATGTTAAATCTGACAATCACTCTTCGAGTTTAGCTATTTATAGGAACATTTTCGGCAGGAATGGGTCCAATTCCTTGGGTTATAATGTCAGAGGTAATCTAATACTCCATTCAAGATGATAACTCCGTCTCCATATATATTGGATATACCCCCCCCAACATAAACATTATCTTTTTGTTGCAGATATTCCCTTTGAATATCAAAGGAGTTGCTGGAAGCCTAGCAACACTAGTGAACTGGTTCTGTGCATGGGCAGTTTCCTTCACCTTCAACTTCCTTATGTCCTGGAGCTCCTATGGTAAATAAATCTAAAACTTCATTTTATCAGAAGCAATTTAACATTAAATTGTAAAGCAAGATGTGCAAGCCGAAATCTGATTTATCCAAGTCTTGTTTTCAGGTACATTTATTCTTTATGCTGCGATCAATGCGATGACCATAGCGTTTGTGGCATTGCTGGTGCCAGAAACAAAAGGAAGAACCCTGGAACAAATTCAAGCAGCCATACGTTGATGCTTAGAGCTGGAAACAAAGCACACGCTATCTCTAATGATATAGCAATCGTTATGTCACTGAAATAATAAAGAACATCAACAATAAATCAAGCAGCTACGGCCTGCTTGCGGAAACTAAGAAATAATAATAGTTATTTGTTTTCGAAGTTTGACGTGTATTAATTTTGGTTTGAAGAGCTTCTGTTCCATGCAAATGAATGGGGAAATTTCCTGCTGCCCATTGCGGAGGAATTCCTACAGCACAATACATGATAATCTCTCAAACCACCACATTTTTTTTCGAACCTGAGAGAAAGACACTGATGCTAGTTGAGCTCGCAGCCTATGCCTGGATATTTATTCCTTGTTTTATCACTAGCTCATTACCTTTGGTCCCAATTATGGTTGTCTAAAAGGAAACTTAATTTTTTGTTATATAATAATGCTTCTGATTCCTAAAATATTTGTCCAAACAATTAATATTGACCAACTCGTAAAACAAAAGCTAAAAGAGATAATTCGATAATCAAGATGGATCAAATAGTGAAAACGGTCTTTTTAATATGGTCCATTTATTATTATTATATTAATTAAGGATAAATTGCTTCTTTAATATTTTATATGCACACTGAAATGACAAGAATACTTGTGTGTGTGTGTGTGTGTGTGTGTGGAGCAGCACTCTAGTATAGTAATAAATCAAACCTCAAGAAGAGACCGCCTTTCTCTGTGCATCTCACGACTAAGGAAGCACTTCTGTGCCTGCTGCAGCGATACTGCGACTCTGCAATGTGGATATAGATACGATGATGAGCATGGTAATTGTCTTGCAAATTTCATTGTTAAAAACAAATAAAATAAAATTCTTTGTTTTCTTAGTGCAGGTGTAATTCAACAAGACATAATTGTTTTTCGAAAAAATATAAATAAATAAAGGAATACAAGCAATTGAACTACATATAAGACAGGAGACATTGTACTTGTAATAATCACAAAATCAAAATGAGTAATTTTTTTTTTTTAAATATTCTTTCTTTTGGAAAGACAGATGATCAAATCAAATATACAATGACCATCGTTTTCGATTATGTTGTTGCCTTTGTTGCACAGTAAATTTCGAGTTGGCAGTGGCACTTCGAAGGCCTATTTGTAGCTTCTTGACACTACTATTAGGAGCCACTTGATTTAGGTTACGTTTAATATTACATTTTAATCATGTTTTTTTTAAATCTTTTTAAATTATTTTGATATGCTAATATTTTAAAAAAAAATGTTATTTTGATATATTTTTAAGTAAAAACTACTTTAAAAAATAATATCTATCACCCTCTCAAATAAACACTTATTATCTATTAATTTTTACAATTCAACAGTATTTTTCAAACTATTTCTGTTTAGAAAAATATCAAATTAATATTTTTAAAATCTTTTTAATTATTTTAATTTGTTGATATTAAAAATAAATAAAAAATTTAAAATTATTGTTTTAATAAATTTTTTAATTGAAAAATAGTTTTACAAAAACACCATGTTTTACCGAAGACGCCCTATACGTGACTTGCACCACCATCACTCCTTAATTGAGAATAAAGAGAGCTATGGAACTTCAGTTTTCCCTTCTTCGATGTTCATTTTTGACGAAAGTTTGAATTGAAAGCCGCAAACAGTTTGATGGGACAGATTACATTACTGTTCCCATGAAAGCCATGGAGCTACTGTCGCAAAATCAGGCTTAAATCCTAAGAATTCCTTCAATGACCTTGCTTGCTCTATCTAGCTCTCTGCTACATTTTTTTTATTGGTTTGAGTAAAAAAAAAAAAAAGCCATAAAAAGTATATACTGTCACCAATGTTCCCCAAAAAATGAACATAAACGAAGAATTTCGCAAGATGTATTACCTCATCATACCAATTTCAAATCAAAATCAGATACCAGTATTCAATCCATGTTGCGACAATTTCTTTCAAATTAGTAGAAATTCATTTTTAAGAAGTCATTTATGTGATTAATTTATAGCTTTACAATCAGCTTGAAGTTGGCAAACGTGAGATACCCGACCTGATTGTTAAATCCTATCAACGATTTAATGAAAATAAAATTATGAAAAGGGCATGGTGTAAGAAATTCACAAGAAAAACTAGGCTGAGTAAGAATGTGTTTGCTGTTCGTGCACAGAGGGTATCACCATGTTGCACTCTTTAGCAATGCTAGAAACATGTCCATTTCATAGGGACAAAAAGCCTCCCAAAGTCATCTGCACTGAGACTGTTTTCGGAACAAGGTTAATTGGTTTCATTTTTCCCCACTCAGAGCAATGATATTTGGTTATTTCCTTTCTTTAAGTAGCCATCCAACTTTTAAGTTTTGAGGATAATTCTCTCCATGCCATCATGACACCAGATAAAAATCATTGAAACATGAAAAGTTCAAGAATCAAAGGATTTGGATATGATTGTGTGAAGCAATCAATCAGCAAAAAGAAAGCTGATATAAATAAAAATGAAAGCAAGAATAAATCAAGAGAATCAAGCTGTTGGACTCCCAAATAGTTTATCCAAGATGCGAAAAATGAATTGAGGAAAACAAAGGTCGAACCTAATGTTAATCAGATGCTTGATTTAATCAACCATCATCATTCTATTAAGTTCTTTGCCAGTAATAACAACGAGCGGTGGAGTTAGATGAGTATGGAGGTGGGGGGGCGTCCATGGAGACTTAGAGAGTGGAAGAAAAATATATCTGAAGGTTGTGAAATACAGCAGTTTTTGTCCTGAAAAAGGCAGGTAAGTTGCTGGCTTGTGAGAGGACGACTTTGCAGTTTTTCATAAATCCTATGTATGTTGTTATGTCCACATACTTGACATCCTACGAAAGAAATTTAAGCTTCTATATTTCAATACAATGTGAATAAAGGAGCAATTTCATGGTGAGTTGAATCAGCAGATATAATAAAGTGAGGATATAAATAATTAAATACCAAACCATCTTTGCACTCCGCAAAAAACCTTACAGCATCTGTGCACCCCTTTCCTGTTCAAGCACGAAGGGGTGAAAAAACATAGAGAATTTAGAAAGAACCAATGCAGAAAGACAAAGGTTACCTCGTAAAATGTCTATGTTATCCATGCTATCCACAAGAACTCTCAATGATAACTTAACAAAGAAAGATATTAGGTGAGGCTAATATCATCAAGGTTCTGATATTATATTAAAAAAAAAATTCAGCTAAATAATTTAAATTATTAGGTAAGGTTGTAACACTTACCAAGGTGTATGGTCATTGCCCAATTTCACCCTTCCAACATTTGTTTCTCATATTTTTAGGGTAAAATCATCACGGAAAAATCATTCCCACATCTGTTCACTTACCTGCAAGAACAACTCTGGTTTTTTTACTAGATTCCTTAAGAAAAAAAATCATTCCCCCAATGACCATCAAAATGAGAAAATATTTGCTTACCTACAGGTAACCATTCTATCTCCTTCATCGTTAAAAGAAAGTGCCCAGACAGTGGAAGAGAGACTGCTGAGTGGAAAAAATGCCTCGATCAAATTGATTTGATCCATCATATTGCAAAGGGAGTTATTGACAAACCAACAAATAGCATGAACTAGAGCAATACAAAATTGAAGTCTATGCAAAAGCTAACTATATCAGCTAAGCCTACATAATGATTAAAATATAAGAAGAGCCCATCTGTGAGAGTAACACAAAAGCAAAAGGTGGGGTGGGGTGAGGGGAGGAAGGAAGGAAGGGGGGCAGAGGGGGAAGGGGGAAGAGAGTACTTGCTAGATTCACCTAAGGTTTGAACACAATGGCAATCACCAGTACCATCCTCAGCCCAAACCTGTATTTCTAAGAAAACATTAATGTTGTTTTCATACTTTTTAACTTATTTCGAAAGCAGAAATGGAATTTTTAAAGAAGCTTATTTCAGTGGAAATAAGAGCAGAGATGAGCAATTTTACCTTGTCATAGTTAAACAAAACATCCATAGCTCGATGCCATTTAACCATTTTAAGTGTCCTTGGAAAAACCGAAACAGACTCGGCTTCATTCCTAGGCATTACTTCCCAAATCCAAACAGTTTTATCCCAACTACAAGTCTTAAGGAGCGAACCAGATACATTCCAAGACACGCTTTTCACTTCATTTTCATGACCCTGGAAAGTGCAAGATCAGTCCCGGGCATGAGAAGATTTTTTCAAACCCAAAAAAGGCAGCAAAAGCCAACATTTTTTTATCAATTGAAATACCTCTAAAGCAGCAAGACATTCGAAATCACCGCCATTAATTTCCCAAATGGCAGTTGTGTCATCGAAGCTGGGAGTTGCCAACAATTTCCCAGAAGGAGACCAGGCACACACGACCGAACAGTTCCAGTGTGTTTCTTCCAGAACTGCCTGCACTGCAGACATCCCATAATTAATCATAAAAATCTTCCAACGGGAAAATCAACTAAATGAAACAATTTCCTAGATATCGAGGAACCCAACCCAACAGTTCTAGTATGTGTTTCAAGTGGCATTAGCGCCAAACTGGCCACTCGTTTATCTGACTTGCAGCCGAGGGTAGTGGCACGAGTTCCTCGATATTAAATTAAAAAAAAAAAAGATAAACAAAGGAAAAAAGAAAACCTTGCAGTGCCAAAGGCGATTGGAAGGGGTCTGCTCCAGATTCGATCAGTCATATCACCGCTACTCAAGCGAAGACAGGAGCAATATTAGAAGTTTCAGTGGCTGGATTCCATACTAAGCTCCAAACGCTATCGGTGTGCCCTTTATGTGTTGAATCTTCTTCAGCTCCATATCGCCATTGTACAAATCCATGCTCAAGTGTTACATTTTTTTTTTTTTTTGAAAGAGTAGTCAAATAATTCACGACGGCGTCCTTCACATTCTATCATTCTTATTTCTACTATTTTAATTAAATATTTAGAGATGGTTAATATTATATAATATTTTATTAGTTATTTTCTGAATTAACTTGAAAAAAAAAACAACATAAAAAAATATATATAACCTGCTAAAAATAATAAATAGAATATTATTAATCAATCCATGAGCACAGTAAATTTTTTCTTTTCACCAAGTATAAATCATATTTCTTTGTTTATTGCACTTTTCATTCTTTGTTTTTCTTTGTTTGTGTTTTTTTATTACAAGAGGGCAAAACGACCAGACCCAAAAACCAACAAGAAAGCCTAAAATTACTTGTCCCAGCCTAAACCCTATCCCAAAATGAGCCAGGATATTTCTTTGTTTATTGCACTTTTCATTCTTTGTTTTTCTTTGTTTGTGTTTTTTTATTACAAGAGGGCAAAACGACCAGACCCAAAAACCAACAAGAAAGCCTAAAATTACTTGTCCCAGCCTAAACCCTATCCCAAAATGAGCCAGGCCATCTGCACAACAGTTGACCTCTCTCTATTTTGGATTTTTCACTTTATTGTTTCTGTTTGACGCCACATTGGCGTTGCGGCCTCGAAACTTATTGAGGACACCCAAATTGAAAACATATTTCCATCACAAACAAAAGCCTGAAGCACACGAGGTTTTGCGACTTCCTGACTTGTTATTTGGTTTCTTATCCATGAAATGAATCCAGGCTTATTGTCAGAACAGCAGATTCTTCCATAAAGCCAACAATTTCACGATTCCTAATGATTTTTGGTGGTTTATATTGACCAGCTGGTGCCCCATTCTTGATGGCCATTTGTAATATCCCATCAAAGCTACCAGACCTTACAACAGATACCAACAAAGGGCCTATCTCTCCCCTGTCCCTCTGCACCTTATAAATTTCTCCCAAACCATTCTCAAGAGAGGAACAACACTTCTGCAGAGCTTCAACTGATCCCTGCAACTTCTCCTCCTGTAGAAAATCACATCCCTCTCTGAATTCTATGAACACCTTCAACTGCTTTGGACTTAACTCAAAATCTGAGAAACTTGTGAACTCCACAACTTCTGCTGCCATCGAATGCTGAAAACTCTCCATAGCAGACATCAAGTCTTTCTCAGTTATTATCTCGTAACCAGTTTTAGGAGCTCTCATCACGAACTCTACTAGCGGAGATGAATTATGAAAACCAACAACTCTCACAATGTCACCCAAACGGTATCGATACAATCCTCTGTAAGTAGTCACAGCCACCTCATACATCTTCCCTGCCTCGACACCTGAAAAATCCACAGTTTCTTCACCAACAACACTGCTCTCATTCAAATCAAAGGGGAGAAATTCGAAATAGGCTGCGGTTGGAAGCATGACAAATCGGGTTGACTCTGGAGGTTGCTGGATATCCAAGTTAATACCCAGGCAACATTCTGATGCAAAATAATCTCCACCTAAAATCATTACATCTCCCGCATAGTACTTGAGTTTGGAATAATACTGCTTCATGCTTCCAGTTGTAACAGACTTAACATAGCGAACATTAGGCCATAATTTAGTCAGAATCCCACCCCAATTGCTTTCTGCACAAATTTCTCGAATTCTCCTCGACAAATCAACTTGAGGTCCACCAAGAAATTCAACAACAGATTCCTTCATTGCCGCGTCAGCAATTTCCAAACTAGGAAACCCACTTTCGAGATCATCACAGAGTTTCTCCCACTTGGATTCCAGCAGTGAAAATGCTCTAATCAAGCCTGCCGCATACGCAGCACGAATCCCATCAATTACATCAAAGCTCCTAAGTGCGCAGAGTAGATGGCAATACATTTGTTGCTCAACATTTGAACCAAAAACAACCTCACGAGGACTAATACAAGAAAGAATTTGAGACCAATTGCTTCTACTCTTATTCCCTTGCAAAGGGTATGTAGAGGCAGCCATAACCTTGAATCCACCTCTTGTAGTTGTAGCATCATCCGCGTATAGAAACCAAAGGATTTTATTCACTTCAGGTCGTGGTGGAACTAATCTAAATCAATGTATAAATAATTATAAAAAAAATAAAGCTTTGATTATGCATACCAATATAAAAAACAATTTAAGAATAAGAAATCAACCAAAAAATGCAAAAACATTAATAAAATTAAAAGTAAACAACTTACTTTCGAAAAATCGCAGCGCTGCCTTGATGAGCATTATACGAGGCAGCTTTTGATAGAGCTGAATCAAAGTAAGGGATCAATTTGGGCTTCATTGTACTAGTGCCAGAGCTACAAAATTAAAATATAAATTATAATCTGATACAAGATAGGCTTCATTGTAGTGGTACCAGAGCAACAAAATCAAAACATAAATTATAATCTGATATAAGATAGGTTTTTCTTCTCCTCCTTGATTTTTTTTTTTTTGCTATTGGGCTTGAAGAAGAAATCAAAGCATTACCTGTAGAAGAAACAAAGGAGAGGATCAGCGGAGAGGAGGGGCTGGTGGTGATCAATGTCTCCATTGGCCGATTGATTGATGAGATGAAAATAGTCATCGTAGGAAGACAAAGGGACCTGGCTTCGAAAAGTAGCGGCATCGACGGGGGCATGACAGGCAGAGAGATAAGGTTGAAGATAGCCAACGCTAGCTTGGTGTTGGAGGATGGAGTGGAGGGTCTGGAGCTGGTGATGTGCGGCGTTCTTGGTCAAGTCTTCAAGGTTCCGATCAAGTTCATCGTATGTCATCATCTCTCACAGCACACCAGACCAAACAACTGTTAAATGGGCAGAGAGACCGGGAGAAATTGTGAAACCAGGTTTGACTACCTTCCGCAGATTGACCGTTGCCTTGTACAAACATCAATGCTAATTTTACATTATATTTTGGATAAAGTGTGCAGTTAGAACCCAAAATACAATTAAATGCTAAAATATCATAGGATAAAATTTTTTTAGTAAAATAATATAGTTTTAAAATATCATGATTTAAAAATATAATATTTTAATAATATCATAATTCAGAAACATTATAATCTCAAGAAAATTATTTTGAAATATAACTGAATTTTTAATAAAATAATTAAATTATAGCCAAAACAATCAAACTATTTTAATGTGTATATTCTATCATTCAATTTACTGCTTATCTGAGTTCTTTCATACCACTCAATTTAATAGGAATGTTCATATGAAAAACATATTTCTTAGAGTCATAATATTATTATATGATCTATCTCTACTTATTATTAATTCAAATAGAATGGTTAAGGGTGTCTTGGTTTTTTTTTTAGTAAAATAACTTCATTATCTTTAAAAACAAATAATCATTTAACTATGGTCTAGGGTCTTTTTAGGCATTTCATATTTTTTGCTACAATATAATTGCTCTATTACTATTGGATTCAAATTTTCATAACCTTAACTTGAAGGGTTAATTTGTAATTTTAAAGTTTTTTTTTTTGGCAATAATGCTTAGGTTTGAAGGATAGAGTATTATTTAAAAAAAATGCAAAAACTCTGGTGGTAAAAAATGTTATTCCACCAAGTCATTCGATTTGTTTTGGCCTCCCCTTTCTTTTTATATAATGTGTACAGTTGTCAAACCTCCAACGCATCATTAACATCTTTTTTTTTTTTTTTTTTCTTTTTAGAAATTAATGTTTGGCCCTCTACATTTTTATAGTAGCTTTTTAAGTTAGTTTTTTTTTTTTTTTTCGTTTCTTGATTTTTATTTGTTTTATTTCAATTTATTTCTCAAATTTTGTTTTGTTTTCATTGTATCCTCTTTAGATTCTTTTGGTTTATCAAATTTAGTCATTGTTTTTTTTATTTTTTTAAGATTGTTTCTCAACTTGTTTTCCTTTTCAATTTCATGTCTACCTTGTCTAAGTCAACATGAAATAAGTTAACAAAGCGTAAGGACACTAACACTGTTTTAGAGTTTTGGCAACAACAATGGCATGATGACTAAAACTCAATGACAAGTTCTCTCACACCTAGAGAGATTAAAGTAGAAGGATTTTTTTAAAAAAATATCTTAATTATTATTATATTTTATTTAGTACCTGTTTGAGAACTACAAATTATGTTTTCTCAATTTTTTTAAAAATATTTTGCTAAAAAATATTTTTTATTATTTTCAGATAGTTTTTTTATGTTAATATCAAAAATAATTTTTATAAAATAAAAAATCATTGTATGATGTATTTTTAAGCAAAAAACACAATTAGTTTAGGAATATATTTTCTTTTTTATGATTTTCTTTTTTTCTATTTAGTTTAGGAAATCAAATATTGAGATTAATGATTTTAGTTTTTTATAGTTTTTTTAGGACTTTTATTACTTTTTCTTTATTTTTGGGTTTTCTAATTTATTTAAAATGATTTTTGAATTTATTTAAAAAGTTGTAAACCTCTTAAATAAAAAAATCATAATAAAGTTTTATCTTCAATAATAAAAATACAAATTAGAATTATTGTGTCCTACCATACTCTAGCCATTAAGTTGTTTTCTTTTGTTATTATTATATTGCTTGTGCTTTCGTCCGTACTAAATTTAAAAAAATATATTAACATGATAATTTGTTTAGATTGTTTATGATTAATTCATGTTAACTTTTTAACTCATTATCTAGGTAATGTTTATAATTGAATTTAATAATTTTATTTTTTATAATTTTAATTATACAACAATAAAAATAAACATTCATTAAAAAAAATGATGAATATAATTATTGAAGAGAAATGTGTTATTTAATTAAAAAAATCAGGAACCAAAGTGAATTTTTTTGCACCCTATGAACAATTAAAAAAAAAAACAGAGAATGATAGCTCTTTTCTTGTATGTTAAAATTGATCCCTATTGTTTTAATTTTTTTTAACAAGAAAATTATAATCTCATTCCGCAAAAATCAATCTAAAATTAGGGAATTTTTTGACACTGTAAACACAACGAATTACACGATATATGAAAACCCAAAATTTAAATCAAGTGAACATAACATGAAATTATCAAATAAAAAAAAAGTTTGGGTCTAAAATGAATAACCAACCAAAAACCTTTTTTTTAAAAAAAAAAAAAAAAGGGAACCACAAATTTTTTAACCTAGCTAATCCGAAGTTACAAGATTTACAAAGTGCATGAGAGAGCTGGGTGGAAGCGGGTCTAACATCGCCATCCCCAGCTCCTCTTTTACACCAGGAAACCAAACCAAGACTGAAATAATTTATGTACCAACAAAAGAAAAGGTGAAAAAATCTGTCTTCTCTCATGTGTGTGTTTTCCATATACCTTTTGTCGGAGAACTGTCGGTTACCTTTACAACTTTCTGTTTAGGTTGCCGTTTCTTTCTAGCGGTTTTTTCTTGACTGCTGCACCTTGCTTTTACGATATCAACTTTCACAATATGATGATCAGAAGTCCCTTTAGAAGAAAACACCGAGTATGACCCTGGAACAAACTTGTAGGGGGAATTTGGAGATGCCAGTATGTAATCTACTCGAGTCCCATACTTACAAGTCCCTTGCACATCTGCATGTATCCAAGTAATGGCGCTGTGAGCAGAAATATACAAGTTTTGATAGCGTGAAGATAGAGTAATTAACATTCATGTTTCTTACTTTGGCCTTTAGCTAAAATGACTACTGATTCACATTCTCCTGCATAGTCCTTGGCATCACTGTAATGTTTACTCTTCATGAAACTCATTACTTCAACTTTTGGTGTTGGCTTTCCCATCTCCTCATAGTACTGCATAAATGAAACGAGCAATAGCAATCATATTTCAATCACATAAAGAAAGGTCATGAAACTCATTTTTCTATGACAGCAACAGTTCGGTGGTCGACCTTTACAATGTCTGTCCACCTCTCTTCAGAGTAATCTGTCTCGTCGAGGGAATTAAGACCTCCAGCTAAGATATGAGGAGCATCACTTGATTGTATTATGGCATCTATTTGCTTCATCCGCCAGTTCTCATCGAGATGGTCAAGGTGGGTGCAGTGGAAGTTGACCTCTCCTGCCTTTGGCACGTCAATTGTAGCCTTAAGAACATTCCTGCAGCATCCAAAAAAGCTCGAATGAGTTTTAAGATGCCTTGTCTCTCGATCATTTTGTCATTTAATAGAGTTTTTTGAAGCTTGAAAATTGAAATTCATCCATCGTTCGTCTTTCCGATTTAATTTCTCACAAATAGAATTATCAGAATTGTCCAGGAGAAGAGGTTATGTTCTTAATAAGTGATGAATTAAATTTTGTAGCACTAGTAATTTGATTGCAGTGTAGTGGGATTAGTTATGGATGTCAGGCATGAATTTTATATAAAGGGCACCATTATCTGTTTGTCTCGTTGCTTCTTGTAAGCTAATTTTCATGGAATGCTGCTTTTTGCCGGGAAAAGGGTTGCATGTCATAGCTAGCTAGCAGCAATTAATGTAAATAATAAAGCCATTAATTTAATTGTATAGCATAGCAATGCACATCTCATCTCAAGATAGATCCTGCATATCATGATTTTGTTGCAAATCATGGCTAAGACTTTGATAGATTCAAATTTAACACACATAAAATGTTATTTCAAGGTAATAAATAAGGTTCAAAAACTCAACATCTCAGACAATATATCTGTACCTAGCTCTAATGAGATTAGTTTAAGAGAAGAGCTGAACTCTCGTAAGCTCAACTTAGAGAAATAGCTTAGCATTATAGGCTCAGCCATAAAAGAATCCGTTAAAATCCGTTAAAAAATCCATTATATTACCTCAGGTAATAAATAACTTATCTACATTTTGGATTTTACTCTTTTTATTACCTTAGATATAAAAAAATTCGTTAAAAATCCACTATATTTCTATCAACATTAATGTTACGTAAGAGATAATGTATAAAAAAATCTTCCATTGACATATTATATTTTCATTATTTTAATATTTATGTAAGATATCTATTACTCATTAATGAATATATCAAAAATATTCTTTTCATTAATGCTATCAGGATAAAATTATATTTCGACCACTCTTCTCCATAAAAAAACAAGAGATCTATGGGATATATAATACCCTCATAAATCATTGAAGTTCCAGGTTCTCAATCTCTATTCTCTACTTCATATTAATTTTAAGAGTCTCTTTCAAAAATATCATAATTTTTTTTTCCAAAAAAATACTTTCTTAAACATGAGAGAATCCTTCAATTCATCAAAAGAAACATTTTGCATTATACCAGCTACCTTGGCTTACCAAACACTAATCACCCTAGCTAGGAAGAATGAATTAAATTGCCAGACCTTGGCTTACCAAACACTAATCACCCTGGCTAGAAAGAATGAATTAAATTGTCAGAACCAAGAGATTAATTTATTATCTAATATATAAACATTGTCCCAAAACTACTTGGTTTTTTTAGGACAAGAGATTAACTTATTATCTAATATATAAACATTGGCCCAAAACTACTTGGTTTTTTTAGGGCATCATTAATTGGTGTCGTCTATGGAAAACTGATAAAAAAAATTATGAATTTTTTTCTAATGACATTTCCAAGTCATTCTATGGCACACAACCATGACACACCTAGGCTAGAATGCTTGATAGATGAACCTGTTATCACGAGTACTTTTATCTATTCAGACTTCCAACAACCCATCAACCAAATGTAACTCTTTATCAAGGTTGTGTTAGCTGTTAAGAGGCAAAATCAGGCTTTGCCACTTCAGTAAGTTCTAACATCTAGCAACTTTGTTTGTAGAAAGGATTAAGTAGGGGTCTCTGTAGTGCAATAAAAATAATTTTTAAAAGATGTATAAGAGGGCTTATAGTTCAATAAATTATTTCAGGAT